GTGGTTTTGCTCTTCATACCGCGAGCTGCCCGCGGTCTCAACTACCTGGGGCTCTCCTTCTTTCACATTAATCAATTCACGACTCCATTCATCATCACTCTCAACAACCTCCGAAGTTTGCACATGTGTGGTAATCCGTAGATTATCAACCTCTAGAGGATGAAAAGGAAATTCATTCTCAACAAATTGCACATCACGTGACACAAAATGCTCCTTAGTCTCCATGTCAAAAACTCTCCATCCTTTCTTCCCAAAAGGATAACCCAAAAAAGGCATTTCCGGCTCCTACTGGTAAACTTGTCACCCTTATTTCATTAGTTATGAGCATAACACAGGCACCCAAACACCTTAATATAATCATACGAAGGTTTTTTACCAAACAAAATCTCATATGGAGTCTTAAACTCAAGTAATCTAGATGGAGTACGGTTTATCAAATGGCAAGCTGCTTGCACACATTCCCCCCAAAATCGAAGAGGTTATTTGCATGAAATCTCAATGCACGTGCCACATTAAGTATATGTTGATGTTTACGCTCAACACGCCCATTTTTGTTGAGGCATCCCCACACAAGAAGTCTCAAATATAATCCCATTAGCAAAGAAATAGTCACGCAAGGAATTAAATTTCGTGCCATTATCACTACGGACAATTTTAATCTCATGCTCAAATTGTCTTTTCACCAAAGCAACAAAGTTAAGGAACATCAATTCAACCTCATTTTTATTACGCAATAAATACGTCCACACTCCTCGTGAAAAATCATCTATTATAGTTAAGAAATAATGAGAACCACAAGTCAATGTAGTCTTGTAAGGCCCCTATCAATCAACATGAATAAGTTCAAAAATACGACCAACTCTATTCCTGCTATTGGGAAAACTACTTCTATGTTGTTTTGCCCAAGGACAAATATCACATGATTAGTGTTTAAGATTCCTACTAGAAGTACTCACATGAGGAAGAAATTGCAGAACTTTTCCTGAGGGGTACCCCAATCGTTGATGCCATAACTCTGTCGAACGATCATTATCTATCTTCAAAACCTTCACACACGGAACACCTCGGAAATAATATAGTCCATTCACTCGTTCACCCGCTCCGATCACATTCCTCATTGTTAGGTCCTGTATTACACAAAATTTATCAGTAAATTGCATTACACAATTTGATTCATCACTCAATTGAGTTTCTGAAACTAAATTGCAATTTAATTAGGGTACATAAAGAACATTGTCAATTTTTAAACCCCCTTGCAATATCACCAATCTAATTTTTGATGCATTTGCATTATTACAATCCGGTAATCCCATCGGACATGACTGACATTGGTCACATTAATCAAAAGAGACAAATCACATGTTACATGATTTGAAGCTCCCGTATCTATTATCAAACCCAAATTGTGCTTATCATGGAGCTTGGGTTGAATGGAATTCAAATAGTCTAACAGTTGCAGAACTTGGACTGACGTCACCCCCGTAAGACCACCCACATCAGCATGAGTGGTCCGAGCCAAATATTTATCACCAGCCATCACTTAGCAATGGAAAACGCTGAATATATTTGAGTGATAAAATCTCACACACTGTCTCGCAAAATAAAGAAACTCAATGTCAAAGAAAAGTTCCTCACAATTCCTCATAAACAAAGGATTAAAAATTGGATTAATTTTGTGAACCCTCCAAAAACTCATAAAACTCACGCTCCTAACTCCCAACTGTTGTAAAAGAAAACCCTCACAATTGACGCTTAACACTTTTCGTTTTTTTTTTTAAAAAAAAGTAATTAATGTAAACTCTCACACTCTTCACGATTACACAAAATTATGTAAATGACGTGTGATTGATTCGTCGTAAAAAAAAAAAAAAAAAAAAAAAAAAAAAAGCTCTATGTATTTCTCATTTAATATGAACGACCACATACAATATATATAACCTAGGTATACTTGGAGGGCAAGGTCAAGATATACCCAAATATTCTCTACAATATTATCATATAACAGAATATATTCACTATCATCTCCTAATATCTCATAATATCCTTATAGATGTGATTAAGAGGAAATTGCTTTTGTTGCATCAATTTGTAAGATTGCAGTACATTTAATTTGGCCAATAATCGATGTTAAATAATGTATATATTGACGTAAGATCTTTGGAAGAGAGGTAAAATGGGAAAATGAGCACGAAAAAGTTCTCATTTATTTTACGAATTCAAATCAAATGTAAACCAAATGCATGATTCAAGAGTATCTAGTCTCATTCACTATTATGATAAGAGTGCTTTCAATCATTGTAGAATTATAAATGGCATTAGTCAATCTACTAAAGATGAACATATTGAAGTAAGGATATGTGTGTAATAGCACACATCCAAATATCCAATCACATTTGAATTGTTGTTAACTTGTTATTTCATTTAGATCATCAATAGCAATCCCAATTATTGGTCTTGGCTAGGGTTAACGGACTTGTTGCATATATTGTCAAATTGTGTACAATGAACATTATTTAATTGTATATGGAGATAATTGCTATGTTATTTATAAACTGCTTATCAATAAGAGTTAATTTATTAAGCATAATGTAATTGTATTATTTAGTTTTTTTGCTAATTTAAAAAATCTTATCGTATTTCATTTTTAAATTCATTGCTTATATCTTATTTGGCATTATATTAGTGCAGTTGCTTATCTAGAAACAATTATAACCATCTTAAAGCATTACTATGCAAAATAAGTTAACAAAATATTGATAAAAGTTTTCATTATATAGCATAGAATTTTATACATAAAAGATACTTAAGTTCAATACAAATATTAATAATGCACATCTGACTCCACACAAAAACTTAGTTGTTTAAGCTAACCAAAATAATACAATATCGAGAATCTTACACCCCTAGTCTTAGATACTCTTCTACTTAAATTAACATGATATATCACATCATTAACTAACATACCTTTGTTTCTGCATAATCCAAACAGGCAGCAAAAAGGCATTATATCTTCATATTATGAACTTGTTGTAAGGATCAAAAGGAGAAGCAAAGCATGATTTTATTAGACTATACCCAAGTACTCAACTGATTCCTCTCAAAACCATGTTACAACTCCTTACTTAGAACATGTGATCTGATGATCTAATCTTAATGAATAATAATCTGTCTACTTGATTAAAAGTTCACCTATGAACTTCTGTATTACAACACTTATAAGCCATGTGTTTTACACTCTTCTTTGCCTATTATTAAACTAAAGGTTTGAAAAATATGGTGAATAATCTAACACAATTAAGTACTTATGTCGAACCACCTCTACCACGTTGTGCCATTGATGACTCTTGCATTCTTCTTTGCCTAATGGCTCCCAACAATCTACAAGAGTGCCAGCAAATGCAAAGAAATAAAAACTGCACCATGATAATAGGAAATTAGAATAGCAACACAATACGAGCGAAGAAATAAGAATCAAATCTTTATATTTTAAAATTTTAATTAATTTCACACCTCATCTATTGGATTATGTAGTTGTATATGACTGACTAAAGTCAAATAAGATCGTAAGCCAGTATTCCAAGAAAAAAAATACACAACCCTCCTACACCTTTCTCTATGTCTCTCTATACCTCTTCTTTTGTCCCTTCACCATTGCCATTCCTAGAAACTACTCCCTCAAGATGCTCATCTAACAATGGATACTAATCCCATTGTCCCCAAAAACAGTTCTTATATTTCTTTTTAGGCGCCCTAAATTGATGTTCTCATTTCATATTTTCAATTTGATCGCTATATATATATATAAAAAAAAAAAAAAAAAAAAAAAAAAAAACCCCAAATTAGCCCTTTTTTTTTATTTTCCACCACCCACATGCATGTACTTTATTCTGTTTTATGAACTTATAGTTTGTGATCTACGTACTAACATTTCCTATATTTATCTTTTGTTGCTTTATGTACTTTTTCCTTCCATTTCTTAATTCTTTTGATTTTTGACATTTGAGAACAATATTTGGGGAAGGCGAAAGTAAAAAAAATCAGCCTTCATACATGCAAGTGTTAATTTTAGCTTACCCTTACCACTTGCTTCCCCTACTACCTCTATTTTCCTTTCTCTTACAGTTTCTATCACTCAACCTTTTATGATTTTGCAAATTTTTTTATAATCTTTCAATTTTCTCTATTTCTTAATCATGTTAAAATTAACCTCCTCTAATGCTATTTGTTTCTTTCTTCTTAACACATGTAAGTGATACAATTTCCCTATCACCCTCCACTCTTTTTGGTCTCCTATTTATACACCCTCTTTCCTCCTTATATTTTTCTCCCTTTCACTTTTTAATTATAGTCTTAAAATTTAGCTTATCCTACTTGCTCTCTCCCTCACACTTTGTCACTACTTTTTTCTACCCTTCCTCTAATTTGTCTCATATAATTATGTATAGTTGAGAATCTATTCTTAATATTTTATTTTTTTGTTACGGAATTAAAAAGATATTTTATTCTATAACGTTCTCCTCTTTGACTTCTATATTTGATCTTTCTTTATCATCTTTACATTCGCCTGCCCACCTTTTCAAATCCCTCTTCCTCATCTCCTACACATTCCCCCGCTCTCTTCCTTTTCCCCACTCTCTTGCTCCCTATTTTTCTCTCCATCTCTTCTTTTATGGTTTAATATTTTTAGTCAGCTTAATCCTACATGCTCTCTCTCTCTCCCTCTAAAATTCCCTCTCCCCTTTCTCTTTCATTTCCTTACCCCTTCTTCTTACTTGAGTCTTACTTGCTTCACCCTCTCTATCTCTTTTATCTTTACTTTCATAATTGTTTTATATAGTTATGTGTAGTTGAGAATCTCTTCTGAATTGTTAATTTTATTGTTACGGCATCAAAATGATATTTTATTCTATAATGGTCTCCTCAAATAGCTTTAATTTCCATGTCTCCTCTCTGATTTCTATATTCGATCTTTCTTTATCATCTTTACATTTGCTTGGTCGTCTTTTTAAATCCCTTTTCCTCATCTCCTACACATTCCCCGTTTTTTTTTCCTTTTCCCCACTTTCTTGCTCACAATTCTTCTCTCCATATATCTTCTTTTATGGTTAAATATTTTTAGTTAGCTTAGTTCTACATGCTCCATCCTCTCTCTCTTATCTTCAGCATCAAATTCCTTATCCCCTTTTTCTTTTATTTCCTTATTCCCTTCTTCGTACTTGAGTCTTACTTGTTTCACCCTCTCTATTACTTTCATACTTTTCCTTTCCCCCTCCTCCCGGCCACCACAACATTTGCACTTCCTTAATTAGATGATTGAAGAATCCACTCAACTAAACAATGTTCCATAATGAAGGTTCGTATTCCATTGTATATCAAACTGAAGGTTCCAAAACCTAAATTCTTGACCTATTATCGGCAATCCAAAGCACTCATGCCTCGCGGTCCACTTTACTCGAAACAAACCCTATTCACCTAAGAATCTAAAAACTAACTTAATAATATAACCCATAGAATCATATTAAACAACCAATTTAATCTTAGTTCACACTAGTGGAAAAAAGGCCATCTGTAATGGGCAAAAAGGGCCCCAATTAATCTTTGTACCAATTTTCTTAATCTTAATTCCCTATGCCTAAAGTATAATCTTAATAATTAAGTGAATTTCGTTAGAATTAGCTTCACCAAGTACCAGCATCAGAATGGCAAGTATTACTTATATATCCTCTAAAGAAATACACAAATCAAAAAACAAAAGCCGGAGCACAACCTAAGAAACAATCATCAAACAAACAATGTACCATGCCTTCTCTTGAACTTGACTTAGAATTGTTAAAAAAGCTCGTCTTTTGAGCTTTCACAAATTCCTGCACAAACCTATAAGGAAGTCAACTTATTTTATTGTATGACCATCTAGTATCCTTATTATTTGAACAAAAAAAAGGGGTAATTCAATAATTAAGCTGGACAGTCAAAAGGACAAAGGATGTCATCAATTCATCATGAGGTTAAAAAATTATCAGTTTCCTTCTTCTATAAGAATTGTAATTGTAGGCAGCGCATACAATCAATACAATTATTTGACAGCAAAGGTGAGATTATAATCCCTAAACTTACCTAAGTCTTTCTCTGCATGCTCAGTTTTCCCTTGTTCTTGAAGCTTCATGTATCTTTCAATGAACCCTCTCTCTTTTTCCAACTCCTTCCTAAATACTGAATAAATAACAGTCATATTATGAATAGTGTTGCCATATTTACTAAAAATACTCAAAAGCATCCATCAGATATAACTAACTTATAACAGCATTTTCTTTCCCATTTTCTTTCCCACTGATATACCTATACCTAGGCTGGTTGCTGCAAAGTTTTATAAACATGCCAAACTTTATACACGAGGTGGAAATTTATAGAACCACACAAAATGCTGAAGCAACTTAGTCTCATCCTTGTATGTCAGATGCCTAACTTCAATCCAAATCAAATCAGTAGCCCAACCATAGCAGAGTCCTGATATATATATTTGACATTAGAACATGCGATATCTGGTTAAGTTTAATTTTTAGGTTGAGTAATATGCGCCCTTAAATTCGACAAAGCAGAGCAATGATAAGGTGTATTGTCCTTATAATCAGCTATAAAGCCTAAAAATGTGAGTGTGTGAGCTTGTGACTAAGCACTACAAAGATCGTTCTCATAATCCCTGATTAAATATTAATACTTTGAATGGTGTACACTCATCACAACTTTTAATGGCTGGTGATTTTTGTTGTTAGAAGATCAAGGAGCAAGCAGTCAGCAAAGTAACACAGTCACAGCTCAGTAGCTCACAGAGGCAGATAAAGCAGCTAACGTTCTGGCATCAACTATATAGTACAGTGACCACTTTTGGACCAAAGTGCACAACTAAATTTAATTTTTTTCTCCTCTAAATGGAAATCCAACAATACTTATCAACACAATTTTAGTCTAATTACATAGATAAACAAAACCCAAACCCAAAATTCAAATTCACCACAATAAACACCAACAAAATAAACATGAGAAATGGACTAAAACATAAATAAACAAAGAAATATACCAGCCAAAGAATTAAAGGATACCGAAAACAGCCTTGGAGAATCGTGAAACTCACTTAATGTTGTCCTTTCCCTCTTTCACTGGCCATTAACCTTTTCACTTCAATTCCTATAACTCCTCATACAAACAGATATTATAATCAACACCTAATTCAACACTAAATTAAAAATGAAAGCCCAGATACTAAATTCATCAAAGTTTCAGATTTCACTTTTACCTCAATTAATCAAACAAATAATGCTTCAATTCAAACAAAAATATATTTTTGCAAATGAAAAAAACTACGGAAATGGGTTATACGGTTATACCTGATTGTTGACCATTAGCTTTTCAATTCCATCTCATATAATCACAAAATTATAAAAATCAGTGGTAGAACAGGGCTTATAAGAGGGGAGAGGGTCCGCCTTCCAAGACTTGCAAACAAGCCCAAAGATAAAGTTGATAAAAGCACGCATATAATGCATACAGGTTACAAGTCCAAAATTAAAGAAAAACTCAAAATCAATGCACATGAAACTTAAATATATAATTATCATCACCAATTAAGTTCCAGAGGCATGTATGATTCTTGGTTTTACCAACATTAAGCAATGAAGCAATTATCCACTTCATGCAAAGAGAAATCATCACTATCATAGCAAGGATTGGTCCCAAGATTTCCAGAAACTATAAAATAGACAAATGGATCAACCTGATGCTTCCTATCTCAACTTTACAGCCTTACCTCCAATGCTATACACAATAGCCTTAGTGCTAGAGTCATCAAAAGGGGAAGCCTAAAATAATATTTTGAGCCTCTACTTCCTTTATACAAGTTATTACTCGTAGTAAATAAAGGAATGAAACTGCACTACTTCTTACTCTGTTCCAATACCCTAATGGGGACCAGCTCATTTCAAATTATCAGATCCTTGAATTACAGTACTTATGTGAATTTAATTATTAAGGGGATATTCTGATGTGCCCTCATTCTAATAGGACATGCAGGCCCATCAGTAGCGTTCTCATGAGGAAGCAAAGACCACATCCCTGAATAATAAAAAAAAAACCATTACAATAACATACTAAAATCACATAAAATCAATCAAAATACCAAATTATGAAACAAAATCTATTAAAAGGAACAAAATATCAACAATCTTGGGTATAACCAGGCAACCATAAAGTAATCCTTTAATTTAACTGCATTTCAATTTCAATAGCCTAGAACTACAGTTACAAGAATCTAATTTTTATAATTTCAAATTTTTAAGTAATCCGTAAAATTATCATGAAATCTGTAAATTAAAGCACATTGATTCAGTAAAGAACAAGAAAGATCTCCTGAAATTAATCTGAGTAACAAAATATGCACCAATATTCCAATAATATACACACTTGCACTCCTCCAAGTTGGTCAGCTCTAGATTGACATAGACAAACTAAAACCCATAAAACAAAAACAAATTGTTTATGAATCTTCTCAAACTTAAACTCCCAATCAAAAACCAAATTGTGAATTGCAAATTCTAGTTGAAATTTCCTAATTGAGCCAAAGTCAAATAGAAAACTATCCCAACAACAAGCACATTTGCTCTCCCCCAATCAAAGCAACACTAAATTGGAACATAAAAACCATTCTCAGTTTGCACTACTACATTGATTTTCACATTGCGATACCTAAACACAACAATTCAAATAATTCCTTAATCAATAACCCATAATTAACCACAACATTCTTCAAATAGATAAATAATTTTTTTTTTTGTTTTTTTTAAACCAGATTAATCATTATACAGTCATTAGATGAAACCCAGATTTTATTAAGAGACAAATACAAAGCAATAATTAAAGCTCAGATCAAAATCAAAATAAAAAAAATTAAAAAAGAAAAAACCACTGACAATTTCAAGCAAAATCACCAACTCCAAATAAGTAGAAATTTATCAAAAAAAATATTAAACCTCGTTCCAGGTATTTAATCTTCATATACCTTTCAAATTTCTGCCGAATTAATCATCAATGACGTACTATATACTAAAGTTGGACCACCACAACCGTTGAAACTACCACCGCCGCGAGAACACCGGCCTGAAGATGCCACCATTTGTTGGAGGAAAAATGAAAGGGCAGAGGCATTGCAAGCCAACCTAGTCCAGGAAGGAGGAATGAAATCTTAATGTGATTTCTTCCCTAAATTGATAGTGAAAAATCAATTAAGAATGAACTCTATTGCGGAAATGATATTCGGTGATTGATAAAAAAAAAAAAAAAAAAAAAAAAGAAGCTGAAATTCCACAATACAAATCTTAATTAAATTGCATTTTACTAATTCAAACTTATAATTTCATCACTTGATAAAACATCTTAATGTAGAATTTGCGTCAATGTAGTAGAGAAGGCTCATAGTACACCTTTAATGGTGGAAAAATAGATTATAGAGAGTGGGAGGAGAGAAATTTTATTTTTAATAAAATCAGAAAACTCAAATGAAAGAGGAAGAGGAAGAAGAGCGTGAACGAGGGGAAATGAATGGAAGGGAGGAAATCAGGGGAAAAGTATCATTTGGTGACTCAACAAATGAAACGAAATTGCACCTAAATGCAAGAAACCCAAACTCTAATTTTTCCCAAGCTTATGAACAATATTTTTCATTGGCTACACACTCATAACACTATTTCTTTCATGTTTGACAAGTTGTCACTTTTTAATTGGTAGGGATATGTTGCAGGCAAGGGCGGACTCACCTTTAGTCATGGTAGGTCCCGGGATACAATAATATTTAAAAAAAAAAATTATACTAACATGTAAATAGCATAATTGGAGTCAAACTACTACTTCTTAAAGTAAGTCCTAGTGTTTCACGTGGATACCCTTTAATTTTCTTTTTACAAAAAGGAAATTTTGAGAACTACCAATTACTATTGTTTCCATTTAAGCAAATACCACGTACCATTATTTTTTTTTTTGAAAATTACCATCAATTTTTTTTCTAAAAGTACCAAAAGTTTCCACCTAGTGGCTCTCAACCATCTTATGACGTCATGTGGGCTCCACATAATACCTTCCCTCCCTTTTTCTATACAATTTCTTATTTCTCACTCGATACTTCACTCCAAGGTTCAATTTTCGCTGAAAGAAATCGAAAACATTGCAATTCACTTCTCTAAACCAAATAATTGATTGAATATTGTTTGCTCTTTTGATTTCATTCAGTGAAAAATTGAACTTGGGAGTGAAGTATCGAGTGAGAAATAAGAAATGGGAGGGAAGGTATTATGTGGGGCCCACATGACAAGTGGCGGATTTTGGACCAAAAAATTATTAGGGCCAAGGTTTGATCCCTCAACCTTTTGGATAAAAATAACAATACTTAATCACTATGCCACAAAATTTTATTTGTAATTACTTGACATCATATTAATTATAATCAACCACTTAAATATGCTTAAGGGGGGCCAGGCCCTTACTCGCCCTAACCAAGATCCGCCTTTGCACATGACATCATAAGGTGGTTGAGAGCGAACTAGGTGGGAACTTTTGGTGTTGAAGAAAAAAGTTGATGATAATTTGCAAAAAAAAATAATAATAATAATAGTAGGTGGTAATTGCTCAAACATAAACAATAGTAGGTGGTAATTGTCAAAATTTCCTAAAAAAAAAAAAGTTAAAGAAGAATCTTTATGACTTGTCAGACTTTTTTGCCAACTCTTTCCTAATTTTTATACACTGTTTAATTTACTTCTTACTCTTATGATTTACGAAACTTTCCCCTTGACCAAAAAAAACCAACCTCCCCGATTTCAAGCGGTGATTCAAGACGATTTCACTATTCCGGCATACCCTCCGTCGGTCGGCTTCAAGATTTTCTCCGTGGCTTCGTCTATTACCCATCCACTACAAAACTTAGGAAATTTACCGACCTTAAATCAATTATTTTTAAAATTTAAATTTGGGTATTTTTATGAATAATGGGTGTTCTTGTTAAGTAATTCCTTATTGAGTTATTATTTACTTATGCTAATTGCTGTAAAGCTTTATGTTGTTGTTAATTTAGTTGTTCTAATTCAGTTTATAAAGCTTTTAAATCATTATTTGATGGTATGTCTTTGGATAATTGTATTGGTTATTAATTTTCAATCAGGGTTTTACATTGATTAATTGTATAAATTATGTATTTGACTAAGTGTTGTTGAAAATACTATTTTATTTGGGTATTTCTACCCCGCCAAGTGGCCCAATGAGAGCGCAACACGTGTCACTGGAAGAGATGTCCAAATGGACTTCCCAGATGTTGACACGTGTCACGCAGATATGTCCTCTGGGAATGGCGACCTTCAAGGCCCAAATTCCATGGGAACCGTAAAACGACGCTACCCTAAATCCTAGTTCATCAAACCCTAGGAAAGGGCACACCTTTCTAGGACCCTATAAATATGGAGATACTCCCATTTATTGAGGCACGTTCTAATCATTTACACCATCTGCCACTCTTCAGAAAAAGACAGACACCTGATCTCTGAATCCGAGAAGATACCTTACTTCCGCACCTTTTTACTCTGAATCGTTACTAACTTAGGGTGTGTTTGGATAGAAGGATTTGGAGGGAAAGGAAGAGAAGAGAAAGGGAGGGATACATTTTCCTTTGTTTTGATAGCAAATTAGGAAGGGAAAGGAAATAGAAGGAAAGGAAATGGGTGGAAATTTATTACTTAGGAGTAAAATCATTCCAATTTTTGAAAAGATTGGAAGGAAAATTATGTAAAAACTGATATATTGTAAAAAGACAAATATACCCTTTACTTTCTAACAAAAATCTAAACATCAGTTTTTTACGTAATTTTTTTCTCTCTCCTCACGATATCCCCAAATTTCTAGGTTTCCAAAATGCAATTTCCCCCCCCCAATTTCTAGGGTTTGTGGAGTGCGATTTCACTACTAATCTACTCATACTTGTCAAATTTTAGTTTGATTTTGTTAATTGAATATTTTAATGCGATTTTGTGGAGTGCGATTTTGTTCTTCTACTCAAGCTAGGATGCGTGTTCATGAGAATGTTAAGCGTTTTGCTAAGAATTACTCAAGCTAGGACTTACTCTATAATCAAACTCGTAATTTTTCAATAATTATAAATGCGAATAGTAGTATGATAATAATGCTTTGCTTGTAATCATTCTAAGTTATATGATAATGTACCCCAACTGTTCGACGAAATGCCTAAGAGACATGAGTTTGTTCCTAATGAGGTTTCTTATGGGATTTTGATTAGGAGTTTTTGTGGGAAGGGTGATTCTGAATTGGCTTTGAAATGGAGGAAAAGGGTGTTAAGGTTACTGCTATTGCTTTTACTACTATTTATCATTTATGCTGCTGCTTCCCTCCCTTCCCTTCCCTTTCTCTTCTATCCAAACAAGGGAAATAAAAATTCTTCCTACCTCCCCTCCCCTTCTTTTCCCTCCCCTCTCTATCCCTTCCCTCCCTTTCCTTCCTAAATAGCTATCAAAACAGAGTGTTAATCTTCAGAAGCGAACATCTAAACATCCGGAGTTCCATTGTTTTGCAGGTACAGACGACTTGGATCCAGTCTATGAGCTGTAACTCTCCCAAGGGAGAAAAATCCCTTGAAACATTTGGCGTCGTATGTGGGCGGAGTACCTCAAAGATGGTTTTCACAAGATCCTGTACCGCTTTCGGAGACAAACCGGCCTTTGGTTGATGTAGAGGTCCATTCGGACCATGACTTCAGTGAAGACTATGAAGTCGAAACCTATGTGGCCACTAATGGGACACTAATCTCTAAACATGTTTCCCAGTGGACAACCATATAATAAGATGCAGGTGGAAAGATCAGCCCTAATCACCTGAGACAAGCTCATGAAATTCATAACAAGTATCAAGGGTGAAATCAAGTAATTTATCACCAATAGGACGGCTGCTCCTAGGAAGGAACATTCGGCCTAAAACCCTGATCAGGCTAAAAAAGCAAAGTCAGTCAAGGACCGACAACCTACCCCTCACCCTGTTACGAAGGAGAAGTGTAGACACCCATTTGTGTCTCCCCAAAATCAAACCCAGTGATGAGTACCTTTCACCGTCGAATCATAATCGCATGAAGTGAAAGTGTGGAAAGTCTAGTGTTGCGGTTAGTTTTTATTTCTTTTCTTTCTCTCTGTTTTTGAAAACCTATTTTAAGATAACAGCCAATCCATTTTAGTTTGGTCCATGTCAAGGGTCCAATAATAGTGTAGTTTGGTCGGGTTCAAAAAGAGCTTTCCAACGATATGTTATAAGCCCAATTCCGATGAATAATGAGGAAGTTATGGCCAAATTACTAAACTGGGCCCGGTTTGATATTTATATGCGGCCCAATGATCTAGAGGAAGGCCTAATATTGATTTATCATTCCTACTGCGATTAGAATTGAGTATAGTCTTCTATATACTTCTAGAAGGTTCTTTTGAATCCAACTTTAATTAGCATTGATAAATTGACTTTAGTATACTTTTCAGAGTTTTAATTGGAATAAAAGAAGTGTTTTTAAAGAAAATACAATTTTGCTCTCTCGTACGGTTAAATTTTATCAAAATAAGAAAACGCGTGGAAAATTATTTCCAGCGCCATACGACAGCTCTGTCGCCTGGTGACACGCGCAGCGTTTGGCGACAGGTCTATCGTTTGGCGACAGGCGCGTGTTTGGCTCTGCGGTCGTGTTTTATTCTTTTCGAAACTCTGATTCGTTTTTTATCATATCCGGCTAATTTTCTTTATAAATAGCCTCCTAAAACCTCCGTTTTCCATCATCAACAACTATCAATTCTCATCAATTCTTATTCTCTTTAATTCAACAATCACCAAATATGATCAAGAAACTCTTAATTACTCTCTCTCTCTCTTTTCTAAACTGGCCTTTTGCACATAAAATTCTGCATCCACAAGATCTAGACACACTTAGCATAATTCGAAGTTGCCTTCGCCTTAGACGTGAAAGATTTGATTTATGAGGGTTTGGTCCCAAATCTTTATTTCAATTATTTAATTTAATTCTTTAATTTTATGATTTTCATTGAAGTTACTAACGTGTGTATTTTGTTATTAGAAAGAGGTACAAGACCTCCAAGTTAGTGCTTTAATTGTTTTATTGATATTATGATATAGAAATCATGTTATGATGTTTTATTGCTTCCTAGTATCATGTTTAGGGTAACAACTATAATTTCTAATATCAAATACGACAATTGTGATTCCAGATATGCTTCCTATTCTTTTCCTAATATTTATGTTATTATCATGTTAGGGTTAAAGCTTTGATTTTTAATGTTTAGTATCATGCTAGGGTTTGTTATTAATCTTGTTAATATCATGCCTAGGATCTTGCTATTATTATGCTTTAACATGAATATTATGATCATGATTATTATTATTATGATTGTCATGATCATGATTATTATTATTATAGTTATTAATTTGATGATTATTATGTTTCTTGATATTATATTTATTGTTATTGCTTGATCACACCTTTTATGCATGTTTAAAAGGAATTGGTACTTGTAATCACGCTTAATAAGATAATTAATAACCTTGTTTAGGGTTAATATGATTATAACTCAAGTGATCGCCAATAATAGTTTTATTCGTGCATTAATATTCAACCAACATAGGTTAAACGGGTTTAGGTAAAACCTAATGATTGCATGTTAATCAGAAAGCGCACATGAATACGAGAAGAATAAAGTAGAGGCATATTATTAGGGCAGGTTCAATCTCTTTTAGGTTGGATTTGTACCTTCATCCCCGAACTACCATTCATGGTTCTAGACCTATTGGAGTTGACGATCTCCTAGATCGTTAAGGGGTGTAAACTTAACCTCGTGAACGGTTTACAAGTTTCTAAAATTTTTTGGCGACTCTTTTGCTCTATCTTCCTTCCCTTTGGACACCACCATGCTTAAGTGTATGATCACAGTGGGGTTCAAGTTTGGGGTAATGCTTGAAATATTCCCTACAGTTTTTGGCGACTCCACTGGGGATGATTTCTATTTTAATTCCTAAAATTTATTTTGGCAATGATTTAGAATGAGT